GACCAAGAAAATGTAATAGAACCGTTATCTTTTTATTCATTAGAGTCTTCTTTACAAAAGATATTACATACATTACATTTTCATAAATGTTTATCTTGAAACTATAGCATGTAACTCTAATTACTAACAGCAAAATAATTGCCCTACGGGCTTACATCTTTCCAAGTTACCACTTGGTTACAACAAAAGAAGAGTCCTAGCTCTATACACATAAAGCCCATGGCTTGAATCAACATTTAACATCAAAAACAAAATAACAAAAAGGAGCTTTCAACTTCTAAACCTCCCAAGCTAAGACCTTGGAGGCAACATGTCACCTGTACCTAAAAAATGATTTCCCAAGTACGGTGAGCCAAAGCCTAATAGAGATATGCTAAACAATATATGAGAATTAACTAAGATATTAGCATCAGAAAAATGTGCAACATTCCTAACCAATACATATTCCTTTCAAGTTCATTCAATATAGACAACCAATACCTCAACTCAATTTCATTCTTCCGTTTCGGATAGAATCAATTAACCAAATTCATTATTATCAAAACAACTAAAATGAGACTACTACTTAATGGCTCACAATTCAATACATTCATCAATCCAACACTTCTATTTCTTGCCATTTTACGGAACTACGTCCGAGGGAACCGACACCCATAGATAAATAAGATTTTGGGACTTTCACCCTAGACACTCCAGTCAACTTAATTATCAATGGAGTCCATCCCCTATCTTCTCCCAAATAATGGAGTACATCTCTTATTTCCTCTCAAACAAAGATACATATACAATGTATTTAAAAGCATGTCATATACAATGACTACCAAAATTCACATATTCAACAATTTAATCAAACCGTCATATTCAATGACATAATTCAATGGATTAGGTTCGATCTTCCTAATCCTCATGCAGTTTCTATAACAATCATGGCTATCCTCCACCGATAGCCCAAAACAAATATTTCTAAACAGATAAATAAATCAATCAACGGATAATTTATCAAATTTTTCATAGGTGAGTGATTTATCAATCCAACTACACCATTCAATCATAATTTCCCCCAACTTCATAATTTCCAAACTAATTTCATATTTTCACATTGATTTCATTATTTATACAAAATAGTTTATTTAATTCAAATTAGGGCATTTTCCCCCCTTTCCCAAATATTACACCCAAGGCTAAATTTCACCTGTTATACATAAATAACTCCATTTTCAAGACCTCACATACACATATGGAGCCCAAAATAGAAAACCCCTCTATCACAAATTTAAACCCAAACCCTAACATCACCCAAGCTTCTCAACTTCACAATTTATGCAAAAATGACAAATATCTAGGTCAAAACTCATATTAAAGAGTAGATTATCACTACCTCAAATGGAGAAGCTCAAAGAAGAAGAAGGAGAAACTTGAAGATGCTCCAAACTTGAACTTTTTCGGATCAAAAGGAAGCCCACGCGATACTCTACTTTTTTTACAAAGGAAGTAGGCTAGAAGGACTCTAGATCAAGGAGTATTTGTAGAGAGAGAGTGTGTGTTTTAGAGAGAGATACAGCCGATCTAGGGTTTTTGAGTGAAGAAGAGATCAAAAAGTGATAGAAAATCACGCTGCTGCGAACTGATATACGCAGTCCTCGCTCAAGCGAAGGAGTCCTAGGTCAAGCGAAGGAGTCGTCGCTTGAGCGACCAGACACAACAATGACCTCACTCAAGCACAAGAAGCATTGCTCGAGCGTAGAATGCAAAGCTTCAGGTCTGCCATGGACGCAGATGCATGCTCGAGCGTAAGAAGTCTCGCTCGAGTGAAGAAACAATTTCACAAGGCTCGCTCGAACGTAAGAAGCCTCGCTCGAGCGACGCACTTTTACCTTTCCAGAAAAGGTTGCGTCTGGGAGAAAATTTGAAAACCCTCATTTCTCGCTCGAGCACAAGAAAGCTCGCTTGAGCGAAGAAGCAAATATACAAGGCTCGCTCGAGCGAAGAGGCCAAAAATCTGGGCAACAACCATTTGTACCAATAGACAACCAACCTGTTCCAAACTCGCCCAACAAATCCCAAAACTCAAATTCAAAGAATCAAAGGAAAGAAACAAGATTTAGACAATAACATAGAGTCATGAAACCCGAGTCCAGAACATAATAAAGGTCGGGGTAAAACCGGGATCGCTATAACCTCCATTCTTAAAGAATTTCGTCCCCGAAATTTTATACAAGTTTCAAACCATGATTTTCCAATTTTCAAAATGATTACTATTCAATTCTCGTTATCATGACCTGCCCACCGGTCATTCTATCCCTTCTTAAGAGATCATTTTCATAAAATATAGCTCAACATATATTACCAATATGCAAATTCTGAAATTTAACAAATTTTAAGTTTTTCCCAAACATATTCAATGCTTATAATATATTTCCATTTCCAAAACTCAAACAACATATATAATGCTCATATTAAACTTGCATTCCCGGAACGCATTCAACATTTACAATGCCTTCATAATCCAAAACATATACAATGTTTTTACGGTTCATAAACAAAACTAAAATTTCAACATACACTCAAACATCAACAAATAAGTCCGAATATTTCTCACGGACTTCCAATTCACGCTCCCAAGTTACTTCCTCAACCCCGTGATGTTTCCACAGTACTTTGACCAAGGGAATTGTCTTGTCTCGCAAGACTTGATCCCGTCTATCCGAGACTCGCACTGGTCTCTTCTCATACGAGGCATCCTTATCTACCTCTAAGTCGGTCCAATCCAACACATGTAACGGATCTGACTCATATTTCCAAAGCATACTAATATGAAACACGTCATGCACTCCAGAAAGTTGCGGAGGCAACGCTAAACAGTATGCAACATCCCCAATCCGCTCAAGGATCTCAAAAGGACCAATAAATCGAGGGGATAACTTCCCACTCTTCCCAAACCTCATCAAACCCTTCCTAGGTGATATTTTCAAAAAGACATGATCACCCACCTCAAATGACAAAGGTCTCCTCTTACGGTCGGCATAACTCTTTTAACGTCTCTGGGCTGTAACCAACCTCTTGCGGATAAGTGCCACTTTCTCTGTTGTTTCCCGAACCAACTCTAGACCTAACAAAGGTGCATCACCCACCTCGGCCCAACACACTGGAGATCTACACGGTTGGCCATACAAGGCCTCAAACGGTGCCATGCCAATACTCGACTGGAAACTGTTATTGTAGGCAAACTCCATTGAGGGTAGCTGTCTCTCCCACGACCCCTTAAAGTCAAGGACACAATCTCGAAACATATCCTCAAGGATCTGAATAGTTCGCTCGGACTGCCCGTCAGTCTGAGGATGGTAAGCCGTGCTAAAAGTCAATCTATTGCCCAAGGCACTCTGCAAACTCTGCCACAACCGAGCAATGCAACGCGGGTCTCTATTTGAGACAATCGTCACTGGGACCCCGTGCAACCTCACTATGTCCTGAATGTACAAGTCAACAAGGTAATCTACCGAATCTCTTACGCGCATAGAAATAAAATGCGCTGACTTGGTCAATCGGTCAACTACCACCCAAATGGAATCATTACCCCGTTGAGTCCTCGGAAGGCCCACAACAAAATCTATCGTGACATGCTCTCACTTCTACTCAGCTATAGGCAAGGGTTGCAACAAACCCGCTAGCCTTTGATGTTCGGCCTTCACTTGCTGACAAGCAAGGCACTTCAATACAAACACTACCACATCCTTCTTCATACCCCTCCACTAAAACTGGCGAATCAGATCATGATACATCTTTGTGCCTCCCAGATGCACCACAAGGCGTAAATGATAAAACTCTCGGAGTACTTCCACTCGGCAAGACTCCGGCATGAACAAACGATCACGATATCTCACACTCAGGTCAGGATACATAGTTAAACCCTTCTCTATCTTCCCACTGGAGATCTTCTCTGGGAGGGTTTCTACCTCAAAGTCATCCTTCTGGGCTTCTAACACTCGGTTCATAAGTGTAGATTGTGCAACTACAAAAAACAAGGCTGCAGACTCAATAGACTAGCCCAGATGCAAGTCAAACTAACCAAGAGCACCCAACATCTCCCATTCCCGGATGGCAATATAAGCCACACTGCCAATAGACTTCCTACTTAGGGCATCAGCCACAACATTGGCCTTTCCCGGATGATAATGCAACTCGAAATCATAATCCTCTATGAACTCCATCCACCTTCTCAGCCTTAAGTTCAAGTCCTTTTGTGTAAACAGATACTTCAGACTCTTATGATCAGAAAATACCTCAAATCTCTCACCAAACAGATAGTGCCTCCAAATTTTCAAGGCAAAAATTACAGCTGCTAACTCTAAATCGTGAGTAGGGTAGTTCCTTTCGTGTGTTTTCAACTGCTGTGAGCCATAAGCTACTACTTTCCCTTCTTGCATCAATACACAACCCAAACCCTCTCATGAGGCATCACAATACACTGAATAGCCCAAACCCCTCTGCAGAATAATCAAGACTAAAGCAGTGGTAAGTCTAACTTTAAGCTCTTGGAACGACTTCTCACAAGTCTCACTCCACACAAATTTGACCCCTTTCCACGTCAATCTAGTCAAAGGCAAAGCTAGTTGTAACACGTCCCCGAACGCTCCCGGGAGGGTGAGTCCCGTTCTGTTCATTTGGGGTCACTACAGCTCAGGACTCTCATTTTGTCACGGTTCTTAATCTGAACCAAAGAGTCCAAATCTAGCAAATCGTTTTGAGAAAACAGATTTTTAGAAAAGAAGTGCCAAACATGGACTGCTTTGCCAGATACAGAGTCGCCACCTAAATATTTTAAAATGGGGAAATTTAGGAAACCCTGACTCGGTGCCGAAGGCCACATGTCCGTCATCACCGGAGTTGTCTCGGCTCGGGAGCTTGGGTACGATCGGGGAAGGTCAGCTATGAGCACCCCCTTTCGCCCGGTCCGAAGACCGGCCTCTACTAACCATGATATCAAGTTTTGAAAACATTCATATGCTCTTAATGATGTTTTAATTGCACACCCATGTCCCGCAACAGTTTCTCGGTTCTCATTCAGGTAAGGGATTAGCAATGGCATACAGTTGTAAATGTCATACTTCAAGTTATACATGTTCAACCATTGTTCATTTCGTTGGCAGAATTACAAAGGATGGCCAGCCATGTTCCCCTTTAGTGAACTGTCGATCGAGTGGTCTCAGAGTCTCAACAGCTGCTGGATCAACAGCTGCGATGCTATCAGCCGGTGGATTTGCAATGCCAATTTTGTCTAAGGATCTCCAATACATGGTAAGGGAGCCCATTTCACCTGGAGCAACCAATGCTGCACTGATGCATGGAGTTGTAAAATCAGACAAATCCATGGACAATGTATGGTTTTGTAAAAAGGGGCTGGTATACATTGATGGTTGTCATATTGTGTATTCTATCAAACATGGGGATACCATTGAACTATCTTCTGGTGCCCCAGTTTTGAAAGTTTTCTTGCCTAACCACTTGTCATCGTAGATACACATGTGAAATAGTCGCCACATAGATCCAGCCAAAATAAATGGAATTGATGTAAATTTGAGAGATTGGTAAATTGTGAATGTGAAAAGAGAGTTAAAGCCCTTCGAAGCGTTCCCCACCAAGAAACTCAACGGCCTCTCTCGCATCACAAACCCTAAGGTCGGCGCTCCCAAACCCATCACCAAATTTGTAGATTATCTGTTTGATAAAATGTCACAGCGTTGATTTGCATTAGCATCAGCTCCCATTGTCAATGCTCATGCTATTTGAAATTGAAACTGCTAGTACTTAGATTTTGCTTACGTTTTGTCATTGTTTTTCCCCATAGCTTATTGTTAGATTGTTTCCTTTTTGCATGTGTTCATGTTTGTATAGTACATATAAAAAAATAAAAATAAAAATAGGTCTAGTCTTTGTAGGTTCACATGACATTATAACTAATATCAGAGCATCTCCAGCAATCAAGCCAAATCCACTGTTTAGCTATATTCAGCTTAACACCAATTCCCTCGCTACAATTAACTAGCCATTGAAGACCCAACAGTTGAATTGAAATGAAGTGCCCTGACTCATTTTTAGCAGTAACTTTGGTGCTGCAAATGCTCATTTTGAAAAATGGAAATGATCTACAAATAAATTTTTATACATAAAATACATTTAGAATGACGTGGTAGCGGCATGTTTGCAATTATAAGCTATAAGTTATGAGCCCTAAATCCTTTGGAAAAATAAATGCTATTTATCACCGAATTTTATTTTACATTTATCACCAAAAAAAAAAAAAAAACACACATTTTTTAGGAATTAAAACCATCTCCTATTTTTTAGTATATATATATATATATATAGACAGATTTATATATATATACACAGACCGAGAGAGAGAGAGAGAGAGAGAGAGAGAGAGAGAGAGAGAGAGCATACGCAGACGGAGAGGAGTCGTCGCCGGAGCACCACTCTTGTCGCCGGAGCCGTCGCCGCCGCTGTCTTCCTCGTAGGCCGTTTGGGGAATTTGGGGGTGAAGTTAGGGATTTGGGGAGGAGGAGCGACGGCAGAACAGGAAGAAGAAGGGCTTGGGTTTTTTTTTTGGACTTTTTGCGACGGTATGATGTAGACCGTCGCAAATAGAAGGCAAAACGGCGCCGTTTGTATTAATCCTTTTTTGCGACGGCAAATTTCCGTCGCAAATGATATATGCCGTCTCAAAAAAAAGGGTTTTCGCGACGGTTTTATTTACCGTCGCTAATACTTCCGCATTTCCGACCCCTCCGCTTGGTTTCATTACCGACGGGTCAGTACCGTCGCTAAAGGGTATTATTTGCGACAGGTGCAGTTACCGTCGCAAAAAACCTTTTTTTTGCGACGGGAGGCGCGGCGTCGCTAAAAATCCGTGGTTTTTGCTATATTTTCTTGTACTGCAAGTTTCCACTTTTGAGGTGGGCTGCCACGTGAGCAGTTGATAAATTTTTAGGTGAATTAGAGAGACTCTGTAAACTTATTGATACAATTCACTCTTAATTTGATTGGTATTTTAGGTAGTGTCATTTCTCTACTATAAAATAAAGTGTGAAAGAGATATTAAAATGACTTTGGAGTATGGCCCAATAGTCTAGTAATTATACCTTAGTGTGTAGTGAGTGGAATATTAGAAATTCGAGCTAATAGAGTAGCGATGAACCTTTCAGTTGTAATCTAACTATATTAATATACTAACGCTATCTTTGTTTAAAAAAAAAAAAAATAGATAAGAAATAGACAAAAATATTATATATAAAGTGGCAAAACCTTTTAATTATAATCTAATTATACTAACATATTAACACTATTTTTATTATAAAAAGAATAGATATTAAAATATTGTATATAAAGTGGCATGGATGGCTAATCTAATTTGTTTCTTTAGTTCAATTTGACATCTTTTTGTATGCTTTCCTGAAAGAGGGTAGAAAGAGAGGGAATTTTGTAAACTTAGGCTGTGTTCAGTTTAATTTTGAAATTGTAATTCTCTTTTTAGAATTGTGATTTAGTATAGAATTGTAAGTTGAGTTTTAAAAAAAGAAAATATATTTAGTTCTGAGTTTTGAAAAGTGTTTTGAAAAGAGTTTTGAGTAGTATTTTGAGTTTTTGAATTTTGAGTTGTATTTTGAATTTTTTGGATTTATTTTTTAAAAGTATTAAAAAATGTTTAAGAAAATTTTATTTTTTATTATATATATAATTTTTTTTAAAATTTTTTATTTTAAAAATTTTATTTTATTTTGTAAATATTTTAATTTTTAATTTTAATATTTTAAACTCAAAAACAACTCCACACTCAAATTGTAACGAAACATATAACTCAAAATTCAATTTAAAAATTATTTTCAAAACTCATAACCAAACACGGATTCACAAAGCATAACCAACATGTAACAAAAAAATTAAAATATTTAAAAATATATTTATAAAATAAAATAAAATATTTAAAATAAAAATTATATATTTGAAATAAAAAATAATTTTTAAAATTCTTTTTAATATTAAAAAAAATACAATACATAAATGTATAAAATATAGTGCACATTAAAATAAATAAATAAATATTTAAAATATAAAATATTTATCCTAAAAAAATTAAGAATTTTTTTAAATATTTTAAAAAAATAATTTTAAAATACAACTCAAAACTGTTTAACTCATAACTAAACAAATTTTTTATTTTCAAAACTTAACTCAAAGCTCATAATTCAAAATATGATTTTACACTCAAATCATGACTCTAAAAATAATTTTTAAAAATAAAATAAAAAAATAATTTTAAAATTTTTTTTTCTTTTAGAATAGAGTTTTGAAGAGAATTTGATTTAAGTTTTGAATTTTTTTTTTTAAATTGCGTGTTTGGTTATAAGTTTTAAACTTAATTTTTAAATTGAATTTTAAATAATTTTAAGTTATGTATCTAATTATAAATTTTAAAAAGTAATTTTTAAAATCATAATTTCAAAAGCAAATCAAACGCAATCTTAAATTTTCTTGGCTACCAAACGACAAGTTACAATATCCACATGGGATGCGTTTGGTGTACCTCACTAATTCCCTCGCACGTTGACAAAATCAATGTCATAGATGATAGTGATAGTTCAGAAATGAATAAAAAAACTAAATAAAATAAAAAAACAATTCTAACAGGATAGAAATAATAACACAAAAAAAAAAAAAAAAAAAAAAAAATGAATAACACAAAAAAAAATAAAAAAAAAAAACAGAAAAAACAATTCTAACAAGATAGAAATAATAACACATGTGAGAACTAGGCCATTTGTCTCATATGGTTTGTGTTTCAATTCTATGTTCTTAATACCACTTTCGAAAAATTTATTTACAAGTTACCATGGAAGTTATATCATTGTTTTATAAATGAAGCACTTTTTGAATATGTGTGATATTTGAGTTTGAATCTTATTATTAAGTATTATAATTTTGTATTATAATTTCTATTTTATGTCATTGATTAAATTAAAAAAAATATTGTCTTAAGCTTGATGTATACCAAAAGAATTGTAAATAAACTTACTTGAACGAACTCAAATTTATTGAAAGTAGAGTTTTCAAAAATTCCACCTATATCCACTGAAATTGCCTAACCCATACCCATCCGCTGTCACTAAGTAGTTTGAAAGTATTGGCATGTGTCATTGTTGGCTTTTTTGACTTTCGAAGGTTAGCATTGTAATTTTAGCGTGCCAGCAAAGATCAATAAGTCCTTACAGAAGATTAATTGTCAACTGATTATCAGACGATTATATTTTAGTTCTTTCAGCTTCAATAAAGAGGACTTTTATTGGTGACTTGTTTAGGAGAATTTAATAAATAACAACTAAATGAAGAATAATTTTAGAATTTCATTAAGTAAACTGAAAAACTTACAATGATCTGACTCAAACTCGTAGAGGTTTACAGTAACAAGCTATTTAAAACTACTCCTATAAATGAAGTACAGTACAGGAATTTGAAGTAAAAAAATGTAAAGAACTGCAAAAACTAAAAGAGGAAAACAAAGTAAATAAAACTGGCTTTTGATCTGAGTCTGGATCTTCCTTTCTAGGGCCTTCTTTACTATTTATACTTCTCAATGATAATCGTCGAAGTGGGCTTCTAACCGTCGAAATGCCCTCCATGATTGCTGAACATGCTCTCTCACAGTCAGTCCCACTATGCCACATTTGCAGTTACACTTCCTTCTTGATTTTGAATTTGAACCTGAACCTTGTAAGTAACCGTTAGGCCACATCACCTTTTATCCCTCGATCATTTCAGTACTACGCAGACCCATTATTACCAATATAGGCTAACTTGTGTCTGATTATGGTTGGCAACTTGTATTAACTCTCCAAATTGCCTTTTTTTATGCCACGTGTTGAATTTTGATTGGCTTATACAAATTATACAATCAACAGTCATATTTGAGTTTAAATTTCACTATTAGATTTTATAATTTTTTCTTCTCTTATTTTCCTATCATTGATTTTTTTTTTTATTTAAAAAAAAAAAGAAGTGATTGTCTTAGGCTTGATGCATGCCATGAGAATGGTAAATAAACTTAATTTCTTATAAACAATTCAAAATTATTGTGAGTAGGCATTTGCAAAATATCTATCTATTGTTCAAAATTTTCAACCCTGCTTTGCCATTCGTAGCTTGAAAGTGTAGTAATGTTAGGAACACAAAAACCAAACATAGAATGGGATACAACCTTTTCACAAAGGATGGGTTTTACATATTGTGGGGAAGTGGTTTGGAAATAATCTTCAGATCCTGGGGAACGCTCGCGATCCTCAGATTGTCACCTGAAAAGAAATGAACACTGCAGTCGGGTGTGCTGGAATTAGCCCTCCGATGGACAAGTTAGTCTCTACTCTCTCTGGATTATTTGTATTTTAAGTTAAGTATATTGATTCTCACATACCTCTTTCTGGCTGATGTGCGTCTATTTATATATTTTCTTTCTTGGGCCTCGGGATTGGGCCCATTTTCAATTCACCATTCGGCTCCTTTTGTAGCAAATCGCTTTTCACTCGGCCCCTTGCTCAACCGGCTATTTGGCCGA